GACGGAGTCCTTTTCCGACGAGTGTTCCGCCCTGATGGAGGTGAAGAATATCTTCAGCTCATTTTGCCTGCTGTTCTCAAGCAGGAAACATTGAAGCAGTTACACCAAGAGCATGGCCACCAAGGAATGGAAAGGACTACGGAGTTAGTCAGACAATGATGCTATTGGCCGGGAATGTCCTCGAATATCAAGAGCTGGGTCCAGGAGTGTGAACGTTGCCAAGTGGCAAAAGACTCGGGGCATGTGCCCCATAGCTTTATGGGCCACTTGCTTGCCTCACGACCTAATGAAATCTGGGCAATAGATTTCACCTTGTTGGAACCCTCCCGGAACGGGCTGGAGAACGTCCTTGTCATGACTGACGTGTTCAGCAAATTCACAGTAGCTGTCCCCACTCGGGACCAACGGGCCTCCACTGTGGCCCAAGTCCTGACCTATGAATGGTTTTATAAGTTTGGGGTCCCAAGCCGTCTTCATTCGGACCAGGGAAGGAGCTTCGAGGGTTCTTTGATCCAGCAACTTTGTTCTTTGTACGGTGTTGCTAAATCCCGTACTACCCCCTACCATCCTGCGGGTAACGGGCAATGCGAACGGTTCAATAGAACCCTCCATAAACTCCTTCGCACCTTACCAGCATCTCGCAAACATGATTGGGCTTCCTGTTTGCCTCAGGTGCTGTTCTGTTACAACACTACGCCTCATCAGGGCACTGGTGAAACACCGTTCTATCTGATGTTTGGACAGGAACCTCAGCTTCCTATAGACTTTCTCCTGGGTCGAGTCCAGGAGCCGGTACTTGGCGGGGTACAGGACTGGGTGGTCGAACATCAAGCCAGACTCAGAATTGCTTTCGAGGGTGCTCGTGAACGGTTGTTGGCTGCTGCTGGCCGCCGGAAAGAGCGGCATGACCAGCGAGTCCGAGAGGCACATCTCCCAGTTGGCCAAATGGTTTATCTGAGGAACCATGGGGTTAGAGGGCGGCATACAATCCAGGATCTCTGGAGCTCTGTGGTCCACCAGGTCGTGAAGGCGCCATCTGGTGAAGGAACAGTCTATACGGTGGCCCCAGTGAATGACCTATACAACGAGTCCGAAATGTCCACCGGGACATGTTGAAGGCTGTGGTTCGTCCTGAGGCCACCGCTTCTCCACCCAGGCCTCCACCTCCACCCGTGTCGACTGTCTTAACAGATCACTCCTCTGCCGATAGCGACCTTTGGCTGTTGGTTTCGGAGACTCACTCTTCACTACCCGCAGTAGCTCCAGGTGCTTCTTGTACCTCTGTTGCAACCCCTTTGCAGGCCAGGCCTGTTCAGGAGGCGCCTCACCCTGCAGGTTGCCTCCTCCCAGGTCTTTCAGTGTCCCCAACCGATCAGCCCAGTACTAACCATCAGGCGGTGCGTCGAACTGTTCGCCCTACGGCTGGCCACCACTCAAATGTCCACCATCTTCCTCGGTCTACAGGCCCTCAGGACAACGTAGCGAGTCCACTTTGGGCCCCCGTGTCTAATTCCCAATCTGCCGTTTTCAGGCCTTGGTGCTAGTATTAGCCTTCTCATATTCACCGTCGGGTCGACGATGCAAAAGTGGGGGGTAGATGTGACCGGACGTCACGTCTCCTCCCTCTGTGACGCTGCTTGGCACCATGCCAGCGCACCTGCTATTTTGCGCACCTGCTATTTAAGTGGAGGAGACAAATCTGCTCCCTCCCCCTCCGCTTCTCCTTTGTGGCCGCGTGGATTGTTTGGCGTGGCAGCTCGCGCATCACACTCTCTTACCAGACAGCTGACGCCCGGTGCGTTTGAGGTTCCCGGTCTTGCAGTGTTGCAACTATTGTGGGATTTGGCCGTGGGATTGTTGGCTGCAACTGGCCGCACAGGCTGGGGTGCCATAAACATTCTCCCTTCCTGGTGGGCTCTGTGGCAGCGCCTAGCTGTAAAAGTTGGGACGCCGTAACCACTCTTCCCCCCCCCCTTCCTGCTGTTTTGGCTCGGCGAGCTCTCGCACCGAGCTGTGGCGTCATATAATTGACAGGCCCTGACTACTCCGTGTTGGACTGTCACCAGGGCCGTTTTGAGGTCGCGGAATTGCAAGGACACTTATTGTTTAGTTGATTTCTTTTGATTAGCTGTTTTGTGCATCTCATGTTTTGAGTACATTCATAGTATTTTGTTATTGTGTGATTTTGTTTATTTTCTTTTGTTAACGTTTGGTTTAATTAGTTACTCAAGTCTTTGTTGTTTACGGTTATTTAGATTTGGTTTATTTTAGTTGTTTTCCTTTGTTTATTCATCTCCAACCAAGTTTTATAATCTTACTGATTTTTTAACTGTTTCTCTTGTGCCGGACAGGTGCTGTGGGCTCGAGGCGGCAAACCCAATCCCTGGTGGTGGTGTTCTTCACGTGTCCGTTTTGTTTGGTGTGCAGTGTCACGGGTGATTTTGATTTGACCCCTTCCTCCCCGTTTTGTTAATTGCCGCCGTGGTAAGCCCCAGCACTGTCCTTCTCCCTCCTCCCTGGAGAACTTTTATAACATTATACAGTGTTTCCCACAGATCTGAAATATACTTTGGGGGGTGGTGGTAGCGGGGGGGGTTGAGGTGACGTGCAACAACATTAACCTTTCTGTTGGTCGCTTGTTAGCAGACCCTTCACGCGATGGCAGAGCGAACAGGTACAGGCAGGGTCCATAATGATAGCCCTATAGTTTAAATCTACTACCCACACATGAACATATGGAAATGGGTTACTATTTAAAAAAATAAATGTATTTATTAATGTATTTAGGAACCTATCCATGTGATTTTTAGTGGGGGTCGACCTCAAATCCTCTAGGGGGGTCCAGGGGCATGCCCCCCCGGTAAGATTTTATTTTTTATTTTGGAGTTAAATGCATCAATCTGGTGCATTTTGAGGGGGAAATAAAGATACTAGATCTATGGAAACACCTATATTTAACAGAACTGTATACATTTCAATAATCATAAAATCAAGGCCATAACCAATAACATACCATTTCCAATATGAAAAAAACACTGAAACTTGTTTATTAATTTAGTTTTGGTTCATTCGTGAGTGTGACTGTGCTCCTGAATCAGCCTCTCCTGTCTCCCCCCTCTCCATCCTCTCCCCCCTCTCCATCCTCTCCCCCTGCTCCTCTTTGAGGCAGCAGCAAAGCCTAGTTTTCTCTCAACAAGTTTTAAAAGTGTATCTTGCCTTTTTTCACCTAGTTAACTTTTTATTTATTTATTCATGCATATTTTACTAATCACATTACATTTCATTTAGCGGACGCTTTTATCCAAAGCGACTTATAATGACCGATTACAGGGACATTCTCCCTGGAGTAACTAAGGGCTAAGTGCCTTACTCAAGGGCACACTAGTGGTGGTGTTCCTGGCGGGATTTGAACTCACAGCCTTCCGATCTTCAGCCCACCTCACTATCCATTAGACCAATCACTACCCTCTCAAATGGAAATATGTGTTTACATAAATGGTGACCACACCGTTTGAGACCCACTGAGAACTTAGACTAAGTTAACTATCTAAACACTCAGAGTCCTTTACCTCACCTGAGCTGAGGTTATCCCGAGCTTGAATGACACACAGAGACCAATCAAGGGCTTTGATTTATGATCTGTATGACTGGCCATGTCGGCAGGCCGCATCATGTGGACAGCCAGTCACCCTGTGTGAGGCAGGCCACTTAACAGGCCAGAAGGAGGCGAGATCAGAGCAAGGGAGCGAGGGATCATTGTCTACAAGTTAATCGATCGCAGATGGCGTCGTGGTCACGGACGAATAAAAAATATATATATTAAAAAAAATTTTTAGAAAAAAAACAAAACAAAACTAAATGGGTCGCGAAATATACTTGGGCGGCCGTTAATATACCTGGGCGGCCCGCCCAAGTATAGTCTATGTGTGGGAAACCCTGTTATATTGTGTACTATTAGGAATATAATTATGTACCAATAAAATAACAATTGTTGTAATATCCTTTATACTGTCTCTGCCTGTGGTGTTCAAACGAACCTGATTGCCTTTTATTAAATTGTATAACTTTAGTTTTTAGTAATTTCCTGGGGGCGAAACTCCCCCAGGTGGCGTTGTCAGCAAACCAAGCATTCTACATGAGCACCACACCGCCACAACAGCATGAAAGAAAGGCGAAATGAATGGGCTGTGATTTTAGTATTTTTAAGCAGAGGTTGAGTTCAATAATTTGTATGGCCCTCGGAGGATGTTGTAAAAATTGAAATGGAGAGGGAAAAGGTTCCCCACCCGCTATAAAGTAATACAAAAACATAAAATACCATTGTTGGTGTTTGATTTAGTAAAATACTTTGTGTCAATGACTTTGTTACAATTTTCCATTTTTATTTTAGTTAATTTGGCCCAAGATACAGAACATTTTGGGGAACAGTTTGGGGTAATAAATGCAATATGTAGGCTATGCAGCCTAACTCTGCTTTTATTTTATTTCTTAATATTTGTTGGGATGTGTTTTAGTAACTTATTAAATAAATAAAAAACGGTTAACTTTGGCCCGGACACCCAATGGCTGAATGCTTAACAGCGGTACGGGTTCGAACTTCGAATCCGACCAAGTGCCCTTTGTTGCATGTTGTCCCTTAATGTCCCTACTTTTCTTTCCATTTTAAACATTCCTGTCAATACGGAAGCTTGTTTTAAAACATTTGTTTTTCAGTTTAACATCCATGTTAACGATCAGAACTTTACAAAAGTCTTCCAAAACCGGTTTATTCATTGAAAAAAAACAGGGGCTTTCTTCCCCACGCATGCGCGGAATGGTTAGACTGGACACAGCCATATTAATTATTCATTACGTTTGAACATGTATACATTAAACTGTCTAATATTTAACATTCTCCAGTTTAAACAGTTTTCCCAAGTGCGTATACCACGTCGTATACATCCGGTCAGTGCCAATCTGGATTTAGGCGGAAGATATCGCTCTTGACTCTCTGCGTGTCTTTGATATATCCTCCCATGAGCGGAAGTGTACGGGATTCTGCCTTTCTGCTGAATCCAACATCGTTTGTAAAGGGGGAACACCGTCTGCATCGCTTCCCACCGCATCACCATCAGCTTGTCTGCGTTCCTCGTCGCTGTACACCATTTACATTAGCTACATATTAGCCCGGGACATGCGCTATCCGGTTAGGCTTTTACTACACCAGACATGCGCAGTTAATGACAAATCAACATGAGAATAGCTGCGACAGCGGTAACAATAAGAATGCGAATGTACTACTAGTGGACGTATTTTGTTTTAGGTCTGCGCAATCGACGTGAACGCCTGCCTGGACACGGGAGAGGATTAAGTTACTGCTGCTGGCGGAGGATTATTTTATTGGCCTCATCCTGTCACGCCCGAATCTTTGGTGATCTTTTTTTCCCCATTAGTACAGGTCGAAAGCCAGGTATGCTATTGTGTTCGAGAAAAATGTCTTGAAATGTCTGTGATGAATTGCTGTACGTCCTTTGTTGCCTGTAGTTACTCTTGGCTACATGTTTTCGCGTTGTGTGGAGACAACAATAGAAACCCCAATATAAACGGTGTTAAATACTGGATCATTTGTAACGGTACAGCAGGGAATTAAAACAACCGTTACTAATAGTAGTGTCGTGGGGTCTACTGCACGAGCTGCATGGATGTGAAGCAGTTTTATCGCCGCTAAAACTAGTGGGGAATAATGGACGACAGCCTGCATACCTGCTTTAAGACAATTTGCTTTGACAACTGTGAAACATTAGGTATATGGCAGATGGAGTTACTGGATCCCAGCAGCTCGGACTGCCCAACCCCTGTGTTTTGGTTGCAGGCGGATCATGCCCTTTTGTCCAATGGAGCCTGACTGTACTTTTTCAGAACTGGCTCCTATCATAAAATAATTTGCCTGCTGTTTTGACACCCCCTATTATTTCTAGCTGACAAAATAAAGAGGTTGTGGATTTCCTGAATAACTTATCTGAGTGTTCAATAATCTGAATTAGCTGGACAGATAACGAAAGCTTTAACAAAGTTAATTTGTTCCACTTTTGAGGAATTGAAATGACTAAAGCCATAATTAAAGAGGTGTATATAGTTATATTTTTACTTAAGCTCCTAACATATGGGACAACAAAACATATCTATTGATTTACACCAAAAGTACAACTACTATAAATCATCTTACAAATATACAAAACTTAAAGTGAAACATATCAAATAACACATTAAAATGTAATGTTCAGAATAGCAGCAATAAATGCTCCAAGTTAAGGTTATCTTTTCTTGTTTCTAGCTTTTTTGCTTCAAATGTTAATATTTAACTCGTCTTCAGGCATCCTTGATGTTTACAGAAAGTATTGTGTGGTTGTAGGTGAAACCATAATTAAAATAAAATAAGGTTTCATACCATTAATGTGGCACATTGAAGAAACCTGCAGCAGTGCCTGAAAATGTGCATATAAGGCATTAAAATGTTAACTATCAAAAGAATGTATTACAAAGTCAACACAGCTTATGTGTTAACTTTGGCACAGGTAGTTCATTTACAATAGCCATAGTTGACATCATAAAATAACTTGATTTGTTCAACCAACAGTTTAAAGAAGATTAGGTACCACTGTTTTCATCTTAATGTGCCACATTATTCACTTGTGATGGGGTTTTAAATGTTCTCCACAGAGACATGTCTTTCCGACGAGGTGTGGTCCGGCAGAGCAAGTTCCGCCATGTCTTCGCCCAAGCGTGGAAAGCTGAGCACTGCATCGACGATATCAGAGTGTCCCGAGTGACGTGGGACACCTCCCTCTGTGCGGTCAACCCCAAATTCATCGCCGTTATCATCGAATCCGGCGGAGGAGGGGCCTTCCTCGTTGTTCCCATCAGCAAGGTTGCATTACATTCAGCATTATAAAAAACAGTCGATCAATACATTTTAAACGCCTGTATCTTGTTTCCTATTTTCCATTCTGCTACTAAAAGCAAAATGTCAGCAAGTCTTTGATGCTTAGTCCTGGAATGCACATACAGCGCTTTCACAGTTCAAAGGCAATTGATGGACAAATGTTATCCTCCTGTAATAACGGAGTCCAGAACAAATGTCCTTACGGGGACAATAAAGTATATTGTATCGTAATATGTTAAAGTTTCTCTAGCCAACTGTCTCAGATCTTAACTTTTTGATTTCTCCCACAGGCAGGCCGAATCGATCAGTCCAGTCCTACAGTGTGTGGACATTTAGCCCCGGTGCTGGACATCCAGTGGTCTCCTCATGACGACAACATCATCGCAAGTGCCTCAGAGGATTGCACCGTGAAGGTAGGTCAACACTTGGCAAGCCTGTGTGATGGTGGCTTTGTGGCCCTTAATCAGTTATTGCTGTCACATATGACAAAGACCACCCTGACCACAGATGTGTCAACTAGGTCTTGTAAAAAGTCTTAGTCTGTTTCAAAGCCATGTTTCATTCTGGTAACAATACAATTGTGAAAAAGAGAGAGAATCTTTTTTCCTGAAACTTTCAGAATCTCTTAAGACAGAGAGGACACATATTCATGTATAAAAGACATGAGAAAGTGGATTGTGCATATAAGGTGACCTTTAAGTGAACCTGAAATAGTTTGCCAAGAGTGACTTCAATGCCACTCGTTTGTGCACGAAATATGAACTTAAAGCTACAAGAGGGTTAGCTTAGCTCGGAACAAATGCAAGAAGCAGGTCGCAACAGCTAGCATTACTTTGGCTAATCACCTGTAAAGCTTAATGAATAACAGGAGTAGTTATACACATACCACTTTCGTCTCATTAGTATGCATAGAAAGTGACAGGTCACACCTCTCCCTACTTATTAAGCCCCGCCCACTTCCGGCTAAACCCCGCCCACTTCCGGCTAAGCCCCGCCCACTTCCACCGGAAGTCCCGCCCACTTCCACCGGAAGTCCCGCCCCATAAGCCCCGCCCCTTCCACCGGAAGTCCCGCCCCCACTTCCGGTTTTTCAAAATAAAATTAAAAAATATTTTAAAAATGATAAAAATAAAAATGCTGCCCCTACCGGTCACCCCCACTTCCGGTTTTTCAAAAATAAAATTAAAAAATATTTTAAAAATGATAAAAATAAAAATGCTGCCCCTACCGGTCGCCCCCGCTTCCGGTTTTCAAAATAAAATAACATGAAATGTAACAACCATATATTTTAAAAGTAATGTCTCAGCTCTAAAGAGCAAGGTCCCGCCACCTAACCACTTCCTGTGCCCCTGTATACAGCAGTATTGACTGTAACTTACAAATACTTGCAAATAACATGAAATATACAACCATATATTTTAAAAGTAATGTCTCAACTCTAAAGAGCAAGGCCCCGCCACCTAACCACTTCCTGTGCCCCTGTATACAGCAGTATTGACTGTAACTTACAAATACTTGCAAATAACAAGAAATATACAACCATATATTTTTAAAAGTACTGTCAATCTCACTAACTCTCTCTCGCTCTCTGCTATTCTCTGCCGTGAAAAGTTTGGTGAACAGTCAAGACAGGTGTGGGAACCATAAAACCCCCAGACATCCTCTGCGGGACAAATGGTGGGGCGATGGGGAGGACACACACACACACACACACACACACACACACACACACACACCACTCACCCCCTCTTCCGTTCAGGATGTTTCTTTTCAAGTTTTTGTGAAACTGCTAAAGAAGTATTTGTTTTGCAAAAGAGGTTATTTTCAAAAGATCTTATTTAGGTTTTAATAGTGATACCTAAGGGTATTCTCTTTCAGTATATGGATTTGTGAACTAATGTGTAATTACTTTTATTAACTATAATTGCACAGGATCATTCTAAGAAGAGTGAGAGGGCTAATGAGCCAGCACCATACCTCCTCTATGCATTTTCTTGACCTGTATCTGATCATGAAAAACTTGACTCTTTTTAAAAAAGTTATTTTTCATCTATCATTTTCAACCATGCAACAAGAGATCAAATTTAAGAATAAGTAATAGTTTGTCACGATTTTACGGGAAATAGTCAGTGCGCAATGTCACATCTTAAAGACAGCTTTAACTGGATAAATGGTTAGTCTTTTTTTCAAAACATACCGTACGTTCTGCATGTTAGTATATTTGGTCAATCGATTAGACCCTACTGCCCTAGACGCATGCCCTCAATAGGGAAGTCACGCTTTGGGAAGAGGTGTTTCATTTCACAGATCCACCTTGATTTGTTGTTGTGAGGGGTGAAGGAAGAGGGACGGGGGAGGAAAATTCAGAGGATGAAAAAGCAGAAAACATAACTTGTTTTTGTAAAACGGTCAGCACGTCAGTTTCAAGAAAGACGTTTGCATACATAAAAAAGTGTATCTTACAGTTCCTTTTGTGAGAGAATTACACACAAATCTGCAGAGTGTCACTAAAAAGTTGTAACACAGGGACTGACATTCTGTATGGGGTTTCACACGGACACAAAGTCTACTTCATTATCTACTTTGTCAGCTTTTATACACAAAAGTGTATCTTTCAGTAACTTTCTCAGAGAATTTAAGCATAAATCTGTCAAAGATTCTTAACGAAATCTACTTCATTATCTACTTTGTCAGCTTTTATACACAAAAGTGTATCTTTCAGTAACTTTCTCAGAGAATTTAAGCATAAATCTGTCAAAGATTCTTAACGAAATCTACTTCATTATCTACTTTTCAGCTTTTATACACAAAAGTGTATCCTTCAGTAACTTTCTCAGAGAATTTAAGCACGTCAGTTTCAAGAAAGACGACAATAATTAGTAGTTAGACATTTTGGAGAAATGTTCTCTGTCGTTCTTAATGCAAAAACAAATCATCTCTACTCCCTTTGGGTGAAGTCCAGGAATGTTCTCGGGGGGAGTGGACACTTGCTGTTACATGGCATAAAGCTTCTGCAGTGTGCCAATAAATGTATAGTTTCCCTAAAGCTCCATACATTTACACATATTGACTAATGACTCAGCACATGAGGGGTAAATACAAAACAAATCTAAATATCACCAATTATTCCAGAATGTGACTAGAATAGAGTCTAGAGAATGGACCCAGGCTTTGTCTTCAGCCATCAACTAAATAGGGGCGTGCTTTTTTTTTTTGAATCACCAGTATGTTACTCACCATTGAAGACAGTGTTGAGGGGGCAAGCAAAGTGTACTCAGCGGCAGATTGCATGGAAGCAGAAAGGCCTGGCTCAGACACCATGTATCCAAAGGTTGACGGGGAACTTCCAACCAGTTCCATCACCTGTTTAGCTTGAGGGAATTTAAACACCATTCAAAATATGGATTACAGAAAAACAATATATGTAGTAAATCGGGGTAATCATTAATAAGGGGAAAATGTGCAAGTCTAACCTGAGTCTGGCATGAGCACTTGATCAATAAGGTGGATGACAATGTCCTTCTTGAGCACCATCTTGATGCCATTGACTGTTAAACTCTCGCCATCACAGCCTTGAAATCAAAGTAACGCTTCTAAAAACATATATTTTAGAAAAGTAATGTTAGTCATGTCAAGTTATCAAGACTGCTGTGTTTCATCGAAACAGTGTACAGAGCAGAAAGGGGAACATTTGTCGCCACATTAACATACCGACTCCTCTATCAGTTTTTGCATACATAAAAAGTGTATCTTACAGTTCCTTTTGTGAGAGAATTACACACAAATCTGCAGAGTGTCACTAAAAAGTTTTACACAGGGACTGACATTCTGTATGAGGGTTTCACACCTGAGCTGCTGGGGGGGAGGGCGTTGAAAAGGGGGTGAGTATGTTTGGCTCTCTGGTGTGTTAAGAGTCACAGTCTTAAAGAAAAATCTGGTCAGAAAAAGTACTTAACTTTCTACCAGTTGTAAATTGTCTTACATATAAAAAAAGTAAGAGACTTACTGTTTCCTTTGTGAGAGAATTACACATAAATCTGCAGAGTGTCTGTAAAAAGTCTCAAAATCACAAACTGCAGACGCCTCAAGGAGAGACTTGAAAAGATCCATGCCGAGTGGGGGGAGAAGAAGAAGACTAATAACCAGCAGTTGACTGAAGCCAGGGACTTTTTTCTTTAAAGTAAAATAAAAATGGGAAACTACTATGCAAAACGCTCTGTATATATTGATCAGAATGTAGTCAATACCCTTTTAATAAGTGTGGTGATGAGGACGATTGAAAACAGAACGAGTAGTGACCCCTGTGTAAACAGAATGGCTGAAGTTTGTAAACTAGAAGACATTTTGGCTATCGTGCGTTCTGGCAGTACTATCCCCGGTCATTGGGAAACGATTGTAAACGAAACATTTAAAGTGGTCCTGGAATCTTCATTTTCCGAAACATTCTGTAACATTATCTCAGAAATGAAACAAACATCAAAAGTGTATCATGTGCTATCAGTGTATGCTCTGTTTGTAGATGTAATGCATCTCTGTGCAGAAAGCAGCATACACATGAATATTCTGACTGAAGTGAAAAAACTCCATCACGATATCTCCAGTCATATGGGGAATTCTAAGCTGGAGACGGTCCTGCGGATGTTGCAATCAGTATAACTATTTGATTTTTGGGTGTGAAAAATAAAAAAGTGTTTTTTACATTTAAAAACTGTTGTCTTCATTATAGCAAGGGGGAGCGTGTCTCATACATGTGTATTACAGTCCTTCTTTTTGTGTTTTTCAGTGTTTTTCTGTGTGTCTGTGTGACAAAGCACAAATCATTTCAAACAAACCCTGAATCAAATTTAGAGAGGACCATTAAGAGTCAGAATCTTAATGAAATCTACAGACACAAAGTACTTCATTATCTACTTTTCAGCTTTTATACACAAAAGTGTATCTTTCAGTATATTTTTGAGAGAATTTAAGCATAAATCTGCCAAATGTTTCAAAAACAGCCTTGTTTCACTGAAATAGCCTCAAAATCACAAACTGCCATTAAGAGTCAGATGCTTTTACGGAATCTAATAAAACAGAGTATTTTCTACAGATGACTCCTCCCACTCAACGCAATAAGTACCATCCCATTCAGCAAATCATATAAAACTAAGGACCCCCACTAAGACGACCGTTGAAAGTAGCCATGAATCTGAGAAAAACCAAGTCTGATATAGCCTCCCCTTATTATCACCAGGATAACGGATATGGGCTTAATGACTGGATGTTACAAAGTAAGGGGGAGGATGTTCCCGAAGAAGAGCCCTCCTCTATATCATATCCATGTAAGGTCTTTAGGACAAAAGAGGACCACGATAACATGACATATGAAGAATATCTTTCTTTAAAAGAGGGTATTATAGATAACCTTGATAGA